ACAATTCGTAATTTTTTACTTTGGAATACCTGTATCGGAAATGACAAGAATTGGTATATAAGTAAACTTCTCAGATTTTAAGTACCATATTTAATAAATCTACAATGAAGATTACATTAAAGTACGAAGAGTTGTGTTCCGTTTTATGGAGTGTATCTTCAAAAGCGCCAGAAAGAATTGAAGACATTTCAAATTATATAAAAACTACATGTAGAAAAGTAGACAAAACAGGCATATCAAAAATTGAAAACTTTTTAAAACTTTTGATGTAAATATGTACATATTGCAACTATTCTTCCTAATGCATCACCAAAACGACTTAAGCGAATTGTGGAAAGTATACCAACTCCAACATCACAATCAAATTTTACCGAAGAGGAAGCAATAGCGCTTATGTTGGAACTGGGTCTCAGTTGAAATAAGTACCAAATATTAAGGAAAGCTCTGCATGAAACACAATATATTACCATCATACAACGCGATCCAGGAAAGAAAACAAACTATCATACCATCACCTATTGCTGTTAATGATGTGGAAGCTTGTATTGATATATCATCTTTGCTCGAAAACACAGCATCAAGAATTGTGTCAGACTTTTCAGAAGACCAACTAAGGAAAATTCATAACTGTGATGTTGTCTTAATGTGTAAGTGGGGATGTGACGGTTTATCAGCACTTCCAGAATACAAACAAGCTTGTGGAAGTCGGACATTAGCAGACTACAAAAGTGTATTTATGTCATCATTAGTGCCATTACGAATTCGTTCATATTCCCTTAATCCATCATCGTCAAGTATCGGAAATTCATTTGAAGATATATGGATCAATACAACTCCGGGTTCAAAAAATGTTTATAGACCCATTGGATTTGAATATATAAAGGAGTCAAAGAAAACAACAAAAGATTTAGTGGAATATTTAAAAGCTGAAATAAATGCACTGGAGCCCATTTGCATAAAAATAAAGGAATTCTCTATTAACGTATCATATCAGCTAAGCTTAACAATGATTGATGGAAAGGTCAGCAATGCCATAACAGAAACTTCTTCCACATTTTTGGCAAAAAAACGGCAAAAATCTAAAATTTTTTAAATTTTTAAATTAAAAAACGTATATTTTTGGATCTGTAAATGATATTGATCTGAAATTTTTTATATATTATTGGAAATTTTGTTGTCTAACTAACAATTGAGTCCATTTGGTCCAAAATTACGCCCGGTATTCAAAAAAAGGCGGACCAAGGTATGATAAATTTTGTATCACTAAATTTTTAAATGCCTATAACTCGGATATTATAAGAGATAAGTAGTATGTCCAAGCATGTTTTTTCAAGATTTCGTCGAGCGCTTTCCTAAAATATAAAAATCTTTGTATTTGGATGAAAAACAAAAAAATGGCACGAGTTTAAAAATTTTACATGTCGTAGGTACCCTACTTTGAGCCGCCACAGCGCCGTCCCTGGGGCATCTGCAGGGTTCATCTTCAAAACTTAAACTCGAATACTCCTTGGCTACGCTCACGCCAAATTTTATCCCGATCGGATTAGCCGTTTAGAAATGCCAGATTTATTTCCAAAAAATTTCCATTCTGCCCCACTGTGCTACGCTTCATCCAGGAATTAAAGGCCTGCCCCAACAACAAGGTTCAAACTATAGGCGCCCGGCAAGACAATCTAGCAACAACCAACCTATTCCGGAGGCACCTGACCAACATATTATATCATAGACTAAGAGCCTGCCCATCCAGGGAAACATGTAAAAATGTGGCAGTCACCTCCACACTATGCTTTATCCAGGAATTAAAGGCTGGCTCCAACGACAAGGTTCAAACTATAGGAGAGCGGCAACAACTAACCTATTCCGGAGGCACCTGACCAACATATTATATCATAGGTTATAAATATTAATATTAAAAATATTTTTTTATTACTAACTTAATTTAGTAATAGAACCTTTATTGTTTAATTCACTAAACAGACTGCAAAGACTTTACAATTTTAATATAAAATGAAACTTATTTTAAAATGAATTTGCTGATTCTGCATATTTCCGCATCGAACCATTATTTCGAATGCGCGTGTAATGCATTTGCTGATTTTGTATTTTCTCACGCTGAACCGTTGAACAGTGTTTATTACTGGAGCTTGTGTGGATTCGGGTTACCTCATGTGAATTTGCTAGTATTGCAGTCTTGATGTTGGCGCGTTTGTTGGTTGTTGAACTTGTTGATTTTGATGACACGTTTCGTGTGCAATAATTATAGTTGTTGTTGTTATTGTGGTTGTTGTTATTGTGTCTGCTTTATGGTAAACTTATTATGAGTAGTGTAACGGACAATGTGTTAACTCCTTCCCCTTTAAGTTCATACGTCCTCGTATGAATTACTAGAAAAATGGAAGGTCGTGAATACTCTTGTTCTTGACACTTATTGATGGCAGTGACAAAGAAACTTCCGGATTTACGTGGAATTTATCATTTTCAACCGTCTCCTCTTGTCTTTCCAAGTTTGGTGATTGTTTTCCTACTTCAGGTGACTTGTTTTCTATTTCAGTGGTTTCATTTCCCCTCCTTCTCATTACGCAGGCAACGATAGCTAATACTGTTATGGCCATTATCAGTCCAAGATTAACCGAAAGATTGATTTTATTCTCGACTTGTGCCATCTATGTTGATTGTCGAATTATCTATTTCAATTTGCCCCTTGAATTGATTCAGAAGTACCATGCTTTCATCTATCTTTTCTACTAGTGCCACATGCTCATCATTAGTTGTTGTACAGCGGGATGCTTTACTCTTCAGGAGGTTCGGGATGCACTCTGATTCACTTATGACTATAATGTTGTCTGTTTCACAAATACTTATTTTATTATAGTCTTTGCAATAATTTTTAATTCCAAATATCTTATTATAACATTTCAAAATTTTCTTAAAATTTGTCTTAATTACTACATTATTTCTTTTTACAAGTCTAATTGAAAATTTTTTACAAGTTTCTTTACTGTTTGTTGGGATATTTACTATGTAAATAATTTCCCTATTATTTGATGCAACTTTGACTTTAGCAAAATTTAGTAATTCGTCCATATTACCGAATGGAATGTTGGCAAAAGTAACCTGTAATAAAATTCGGTAAAAGTTAATTCCTTATGTGCTTCTTGTGTACTACTCTGCCTCTTTCAGTCACTACAGTCCTCTTTTACTAGTTTCCGTTTAAATTTTTCGGTCAGTTTCGTACCAAGTCTTTTATTTACCCTTACAAAAATCTCCTGTCCGGGTATGTATTGCTTAGTTTCCGCCTTGTTCCTATTGTGATAGTCTAAGTCCTTTTCCTATTTCCTTTTCAGTTTATCGACGTTATTCTGTCTTGTTCGTTCGTAGCTCCCTGGAGAAAAATCTACGGTCCTACCGAAAAACAAGTCTACCGGCTTTCTTCCTATTGAGGAATGTACGGAATGGTTGTACTCGTTAACAGATCGTTCCAATAACTCTCCGAAATCCCTACAAACCCCCTCATCCTTAAGACATCTCAAAATTTCGGCCAATGTCGAATGGAATCTCTCGATTTGACCATTTGCTTCGCTTCTATAGGGTGGCGTTGTAAAGACTTCTATTCCCAATTCATCTTTCATCATAAAGAGAATTGAGGCGGAATTCAAGGACTTCTCATTGTCCATAACAACTGTTTTAGGGACCCCATAGAAAAAAAAGAATATCCCTTAAAGGTCTCCTAACATTTTCTATAGATTTTCCCTGTAAAATTTTGGTCTGCGCGTATTTGGAAAATTTGTCAAGTGCTGTTAGGACTATTTTCCCATCAGTAGAAAAAATATCGATGTGAATGATTTGGCCGGGATAAGTTGGTATTGGTGTCTCATTTATTTTCGGTTGGTTGGGATGTCTTTCGTATTTATTCCTCTTGCATATACAGCAGAGCTTTAGTATCCTCTTAATTTTAGAAAACATGCTGGGAAAATAAGCCTTCTCAAGTATCTGGGTTTTGTTTTCTACTGCATTTCTATGTGCACGATTATGGGTTTCTATGATCAGGGTTTCCTGATCCAATTCCGATAGAATATCATCCACAAAATTTTGTGTAAATCGCACCTTAAAATTTCCAAAATGATGTGGGTAAAGAAGTTGTATTTTTCCCATAATGCATTCCGGGGTTTTTATACAATTTATCACCGACGGGTTTAAGTATTTCTTTAATATGGATATCAATTTTTCCGTGTCATAATCCTGTTCTTTTATCAGGTGTATGTGATATCCGGGAAATATTATCTTAAATTCATATGTTGGGGTGTCGTCAATTTGAAGAAAAATTTGGTTTTTGAATGCGTTAATTGGGACTTCTACACTGGGTATTAGTTCCTCCGGTGAGCTATCGCCACTGTGCACAGTTCCTGTTAGAGAATTAATATTATATCGGATATCGGTCTGTCGTCTTGACTTAGTACTGCTCCTATCGCCACATTAGATGCATCCGTAGTTAGCTGAAATACATTTTCGAAGTTTGGATATGACAGTATTACCTCCTTGGATACTAAGGCGTTTTTTAATGTGTCAATAGCAAGTCTTGCCGAACTGTCGAGATTTATTTCCCTCCTGCTTGACCCTGATTTGGAAATCATTCCTCCGTCTCCTCGTAAGAGCTTTGTTAGTGGCTTAGCGATGTCCGCGTATCCCCTTATGAATCTCCTATAATATCCGGAGAGGCCAAGAAATGATCGAAGCTCTTTAATATTACAGGATAGGGAAAGTTCACGATTGCTTCCAATTTTTTCGGATTAGCTTTTATTCCATTGCAGGAAACAATGAAGCCAAGGAATTCGACTTCTTCCTTGAAGAATTCACATTTGTCCAACTGGACCTTCATGTTAGCTGCATTCAGAGTCCTAAAGACATCATTTAGGTGCCGCAAGTGTGAGACTTCATTATTGCTAAAAATAATAATGTCATCTATGTAAACGTAGCATATCCGGCCGATATGTTCTCTTAAAATGTCGTCGAGAGCTCGTTGGAATATAGATGGAGCATTCCTTAATCCGAAAGGTAAGCGCATGAATTCGTACTTTCCGTTGTTTACGGAAAAAGCCGTTTTCTCTATGTCCTCTTCCCTAATGGGTATTTGGTGGAAGCCACTTTTTAGATCGATCACCGTGAAGTATTTGTTCCCTCCAAGATGAGAGAGGACATCGTTTATTTCTGGTATGGGGTACTTATCAGGAATCGTTACTGAATTAAGTTTTCTGAAATCCACTACAACTCTATATTTTTCTCTTCCGGACGCATCCTGTTTCTTTGGGACTACCCAAATTGGTGAGTTATACGGAGAACGTGATGGTCGAATTATTGCGTCATTCAGTAGTCTAGTAATTTCTTCCTCTACAACCCCCCGTAGAGCCATTGAGTAGGGGTAATTTTTTGAATACGTGGGTGTGTTGGTTGTTGTCCTTATCTCGCCCACGACCCTAGTTGTGTATGTGAGACTTTCGTCTGGATCCGCGAATAAGTTCCTATAGCGGTCCACTACGCGTTCCAGAGAGTTTTTCTGATACTCGGACAGATGATCAGTCCTCAGCTCGATATTATTAACGTCCAGTGCAATATGTTGAAAAAGCTTAATTCTCCTGGTACAAGGTCCACAAGAGCTTCGTTTTATTGTCTATAAGGTTGTTCGTTGTCCTCGATTTCCCTGTAATATTCCTCTATGTCAGGTACCCCTCCAATAGCGCCTTCCTCATGATAATAATTAATGGCTTCCTGTGGTGGCTGCTGGAGTCCATTCTCGTTGTCCGCTGTTATGTGAAAGTTTCTCTGCATCTTATTTTGTGGGGCTTGAATGGATGCTGGAGGTGGTCTCTTGAACGCTGTGTTCGCTGGTCGATTTATATAGTATTCGGATTAAAGTTTGGTGTTGTCGTATTCTGAGGTGATAGTGGTGGTTTAGGAAGAATTCTACCGCCAATATGGGCCAATTCCGGATAAAATCTAGGTTTGTTTCCCTGGTATGTGTTTGTGCTAATACGATCCTTTGGTACGTTATTCCTAGCTAGCTGACCGTGGGCGTAATTCCGCTGGAATGTCATATTATCCAGTTTTAGACAAATGTGTAGGGCCTGGGGAAGTGACGATGGTTCCCGAACACTCAGGAGTCTCGGTAAATCTCCGTTTAATCCCCTTATAAAGGTATCAAGTGCCTTGTCCCTATAGGTATTGGTCATAACTCTCAAGCTTCCTTCGTCAATATCCAGACAGGCTACTTTATCCAATATCAGGGAGAGATGTTGGTAAACTACTTGGTAAAACTCCGTTATCGACCTATTGCCCTGGCAGAGGGCAGTCATTTGGTATTCCAACGTACCAATATCTCTCTTGTCCGAATAATGCATCTTAAGACGTTTTTTATTTTCGGCCAATCCAGCGGTGTCCTGTAAGACTCAAGTGCCGTGTCAGCTTCTCCTGTAATTTTCGTGCGTATGGTATGAAGAATGGCATAGTATCGCCCTGTTCCCTTTTGTGATTCGTATAATTACAACACCCTGTCCACCGATTTCCTCCAAGAATTGAATTCCCCTATGGTACCTGAAAATTCCCTTAAAGATTTTACAATATTGGGTACCCTATCCAATTCCTCTAATTTTGGTGTTCTGGTCCATGTCCTCGTCCAGATTACCACACTGTGGTGCTCGCAAAGTTTCCGGTGTTGCCATTGTGAGTGTTCTATTAAGTCTGTCAGTCAGTTGGTCAATAGTCTCGTCAGGCATTGGAAATGGTCGCGATCAAATTCAGAAAATCACTTGATTCTATACCAATTTTAATTTCAAGGACGTAGTATTCTTTAATTTATGTAATAATAACTTTTATAAAAAAATTTTTTGTAATGAATATTTTTTTCTTTCTCTTTTCTTTTTTTTTTGTGGGTAATTAATTTTACTAATAATAAGTGTAATAATTCTAGATAGAAATAAAAATAATCTTACATTAGAACTGATGTCGGGAACATGCTGCTTTTTGTTGAATGTTGTTCTGGTAGCTGCCCTCGGAGTAGTTTTACAGTAAGATGTTTCTCCAAATTTTTTGCGTCTCTAGCTCGGAATATTATATTTATGTCCTTGTCTTTAATTATTGAGATTTGATCTTATTTTTTTTTCTATTTTTCAGTGTTCAATTATATGCTTTTATGCTTTTATTCTTCTTTTTTTTTTTCTTAAAGTTTTTATTCGATAATAACTCATTTATTTCTTTGTTTGCTTTTTTTTTTTATTTTATTTATAGTTCACTTATTTATTTTTATTTTTTTAGAGTAATTTTATTCATTGTTCACAAATTTGTTATTATTTTTTTTTTTAATTTTATTTATTGTTCACTTATTAATCTAAATGTTCTTATCTTTTTTTTATTTATTTATATCGCGGCCGCTGATCCTTAAGAGGACCTCCCTTTTGTCTCTTAAGAAAGACTACTAAGGCGCATCATTTCCACGATTTATAACACTTATTACGACAAAGGACCCTTTATTTCCATGGGTCCCTGCTCGGGCGCAAATTAATATTTTAAAGGTTTATTTTTTTTTAATATTTTTTTTTATTACTAACTTAAGTTAGTAATAGAACCTTTATTGTTTAATTCACTAAACTGACTGCAAAGACTTTACAATTTTAATATAAAATGAAACTTATTTTAAAATGAATTTGCTGATTCTGCTTATTTCCGCATCGAACCATTATTTCGAATGCGCGTGTAATGCATTTGCTGATTTTGTATTTTCTCACGCTGAACCGTTGAACAGTGTTTATTACTGGAGCTTGTGTGGATTCGGGTTACCTCATGTGAATTTGCTAGTATTGCAGTCTTGATGTTGGCGCGTTTGTTGGTTGTTGAACTTGTTGATTTTGATGACACGTTTCGTGTGCAATAATTATAGTTGTTGTTGTTATTGTGGTTGTTGTTATTGTGTCTGCTTTATGGTAAACTTATTATGAGTAGTGTAACGGACAATGTGTTAACTTATACGCTCATTAGTCCAAACCTTCTAGAGGCCAGATCGAAAGATTTATACAAAAAAATATTTTCTATATATTTTTTTATTTCGTTTCTATGTTTAATATTGTACTTAAATTTAACATAATTACAACTCTTTAAATTTTTATACAAAGTAATTGTAACGATACACTATTGTGAAACTTTGTTTGAATTACAAATATACAAACATGAATTAAGTATTGTGCTATTTGTTACACATTCAAAAACTTTCTTATTTTGCAAACCTCGACTTGAAAAGTTATTTTCATTTTTTTATTTATTAGCCTACGGCTAATAAATAAATAATAAAACCTTACAGGTAACTAACAATTAATAATAATAATAATAATAATATAATAATAATAATAATAATAATAATAATAATAATAATAATAATAATAATAATAATAATAATAATAATAATAATAATAATAATAATAATAATAATAATAATAATAATAACAATGATAATAATAATAACGGCTGGACCGATTCGCTTCAAATTTGGAACATAGTTAGATCTAAACTTGGAGAGTGGGGCAAAAAGGGCGTCAAATGGGTGAAAAAACGGGCAAAATTAGTACTTTTGATAGTAAATACTGATTTTGTCTATCCTTAAACAAAAGCATTTTCGATTAAACTACTTAATTTGTTAGAAATATATACACTCCCTCTCAATTAAATAGGTTCACTGTTTTGTTTACATTCAAATTAATTTTTTGCAAAAAATAATGGACTAATTGGTTATATTAAAATTTTAATTAATACCATGATGTCTTATATATCACTAGATAGACAAACATTAGTGCAATACTTAATAACCGATTTTTAATAATTTTTTTTTCTAAAATACTACGTTTTCGAACAATATTTTTTTTGGCTCATTTGAATAGGTTCGTCATCTTTAATTGACAAAAACAACAAATTGCGTTTTTCATGAAACTTTTTTATTTTTATAAACATTTTTACAAGGTTTTAGAAAAGATATACTAAGGAACATATCCGCCGTTACTTGATATAACTCCGAAAATTCGAGGTGATAAAGAGTTATAAAGATTCTTAAGTAATGGCAAGGAAATTTCGGTCCAAGCCTTTTTGGTTCCTTCAATTTAGGCTTCTTTTGTGTCATACTGTCTGCCCGACCTATACACATTACGAGAAAGAATATCCGAAACCTTTTCAGTAATAAATAGGTGAGAAGATTATGGAGGCCACCCCAAAATGTTGACATTCTGGCTTCGAATCCACCCTTTTACAGCACTGGCGGTATGGATCGGGGCATTATATTTTTGAAATATCCACGGCAATGGTTAAAGATATCCGAAAATGTGAAAAAAGCTGTTTCCAGTATAGCATTACAATTATTACAATTCTTACTAGATGAAAGAAATTTAAGCTCACATATTTCATAATACGAAATTGCCCCCTACTACATCCCATATCCTCAACAGCTATGCAAACGACTCAGGTAGAGCTCTTCCTTTCAAAAATCATAAAAATAATGATTGTATCGATTTGGACCTTCTAAATTAAACATTTTTTCATCCGAAAATACAAGATGTTGATATAGCTTTTTATAACCATGTGTTCACGTGCAAACTGAAGAGGATTTCTCTTTACGAGTGGCAATTGGAGTGGCTTTTATTAATTTTTTAATATTCCTAAAGCCTTGGCCCTTCTTACAATTCGTTTTACTGTAGCTAGGCTTGCTGTAACACCCACTTTTTCTCTTAGTTTTGCTACAGAATCACTTAACTTGGAGGCAAATTTTATGAAATCTCTTCTGTCCGCTTTTGTTTTGACTCTATATGTAGTTCCACTTATGTTTTCTTAATATTCAAACTGTTTTCTTATACAATTGCGATTAACATTCTGAATTTCCCCAATTTTTTGCCAAATTCCTATGGTTTTGGACAGTTTCCAAAAACGCTTGAATTTTGTCATTTTATTCTTTAGTTAATGGCTTACCGCAACCTATTTGTTAAAAATTATATTGTCTATATTCACAGACACTAGAATATGAATGG